CCTGAGCTTCTAATACAGGACTTGTTAATGGTCTCCTCTTACGCCTCTGGTGGTCTTTTTGGTGCATGATTTTCAGTGTACTTAGGTAAATTTCTAATAGTAAACATCCCAAGAAATATTTTTAAAATTTAGTTGTTGGGAAAGTATGTACATGGTTTTCTATTTTGTAGTATCTTGTGTCTTCTGTTCTGCCCTTCTACCTGTCCCCATTTATTTTGACTGACTTTTTTCTCCTTTATCTGTTTTTCATCCTTGGTATCAACTTACAAGCTCCATCTTGGTACAGATTCCTCCCCATACCCCATAACCTACCATCTAAGTACATTTTGCAAAGTTGTGGGGGTTCCCTCCCACCATTCTGAAAGCATTTTTTGTCTTCTCCTTGCCTTTTAACATTGTCAGAACAAGAATGCAGTATTTCATAGAAACAATGTACTAATTTTACATTTAGTAGTGTATGATTGTGCATGTAAGTCAAACCTGACCCTTTTACTGGCTATTTACCTACATTTTTGCATCTTGCAAAATCTGCCCCTAAAGCAGGATCCCAACTTGGGTGGTAACAAAGAAAACCATATTTAATATTGTTAGTATTGTAAAAGTATCTCTGTTGAAAAAGGAAGCTGAAGCCTTTTGGACATCTTAGCCACAGTACACAGATAAGAAAGGAAAAGGAAAGCTTGGAGAATAATTGTGTGTGATAGAAGAAGCTTCAGTACCCTGGATGCAGCATAATATTGTGTACTGGCTTCTTTAAAATCCATAATGCTTGCATGCCAGTATTTGGATAATTTACTTTCTGAAGGAAAAAAGGAGTCTGATTATTGTTTCTTTAAAAAAAAATGTTTATGCTGTGAATATTTTGGCAATGTTCTTGTGCATAAACTTTTTTCATATTTATGTGCATAACTTCAGATAGGATGGATGGTGGTGTTTAAGTAAAAAGGACTGCATTAGTTGTCCTTTTATCATCTAGATAAGCAGCAGCTGGGCTAGTTAGTACAGACAGTGCTTTAGCAAACAGCTGGTTCTTATCTGAATGACAAAGAGCTAGGGTAGAGACCTTTTTTATTTAAAAAAAAATATCTTGTTTCTATTTTTATTGTAAGAGAATGGAGAGAAAAGGAGCTACAGGCAATCTGTAGCATGTGAGGTTTTATTGCATTTTTATGAATATGATCATTTATTATAGATCAGTGCTAGGACCCAGAGAGGGAACTCTCTCTTTTCAGCCTGCAGAGGAGAAGGCTCAGGGGGATCTTACCAATGTCTGTAAATACCTGATGGGGGGGAATAAAGAAGACCGAGGCAGACTCTTCTCAGGGCTGCCCAGTGCCAAGACAAGAAGCAACGGGCATAAACTGAAATACAAGAAATTTCTTTTAAACATAAGAAAAAAATCTTCTTCTGAGAGGGTGGTCAACCGCTGGCACAGGTTGCCCAGAGAGGTTGTGGAGTCTCTGTCCTTGCAGGTATTCAGAACCCAACTGGACAAGGCACTGGGCAGCCTGCTCTTGCTGACCTTGCTTTGAGCAAGAGGTTGGACTAAATAATTTCTAGTGGTTCCATCCAACCTCAACTGGTCTGTGACTCTGAACTGTCACACCAAGAAGTGCTCCTGTTCGGAGCAGCTATTGATAGGAAGTATAGGGTTCAGTTGCTGCCTAGCTTGCTTTCCTTGCCAGGCCATTAATGAAGATCAGGGATTCGTACATCTTTGTTAATATTGCCTACTCTTTATCAGTTAATCAAATTAAATTATACGGGATAGCACTGATGCTGGCTAAGGGAAGGAACTGGAATGTGTAATTCAAGCTCTTTATTAGAAATGCATCAGGAAGAGCAAGTCTTTATTTGAACTGCAATATTGCTTTGGACTGTCGGTCTCTTTGTCTTGCCCACAGCACAGTTTCCAAATTCAATGTATTTTTTCTTACACAAACTTCCTGTTAACAATGTAAGGAAAAGAATTCTTTTTTTGTGAAAGCCAGTTCTGTAATTCCTGTCTAATTTTTGCTATTTTATAAAAGGCATTGTATCTTCTGTAAAATATTTGTGTAGTCGGCTGTCGATGCCTTTGTTTAAACCCATCTTTTGAGATGCTAATTAGAAATGGAAAAAGTTTTCCCCATGAAAATTATAAAATACGTGATTCACTTTACAGACGCAGCCATCTAAACACAACGCTCCTGCTGTTTCTTCTATTTACCCTGTACTTTACTGCATTACCAGGAGTGAATTTTTATGTATTTCTCTGATGCAGAGCTTTCTCCTTGTCTATCTTTCTGAAAATCTCTTGAGACCTTCCTACAAATTAGTTTGAAAGTTGATGGGTTGTCACATGAAGAAGGACTGTGTGATATGGCTCACTAAAAGCTGGACACTTGTTACATAAAGTCATCAATATAGCACTGGGCGAATAAATCCCAAAGCACTTTGATATTTTCACACCTTATTTAAAGGCAGTGAAATAAAGGTTAGTTCATCATTTAATGCCTTTATCATGCAAGTGTAAGCTCTCAAGCAGTCTAATGTTGGTGTGCTTTTTTTCTTACGGTGTTTCGGAATTTAACATTTCTATTCTTTTTGAATTTGCCTTAGATTCCGTTATAACAGAAGCTACAAATATTGTTTAATTTACTTTTCAGTAAAGCTGTCAGTTGTAATCTGCAATTTAAAAAACCTAATAAAACAAATCCTCATTTCACAATTTAAACCTTATTGAGTCTAATTCACTTGCACTGCAAGTTTATTATTCTCCTGCAGCTTGACGTGCCTCCAATTGTAATTGTGTTGACCCTCCGATGCAGTAAATCTCCCCAGTGCTTATCAAACTGGGAGAGATAAGTCTACAATTTGGAACTTCATTAAGTATCTCATTTATATTAAACAGATGATGGCTTTGAACAGAAATAATAACTTTTACAGACTCTGCGACCTCCTGATCGTGGTCTTCTCAACTTTGTAATGCGGCATTTCGCAAACCTCCACCCCCCCGTGTACCGGGCGTTACGCCAGTGCCCGAATGTCAGAAGTCATTAGTCCATTGGGCTGACTTCAAAGCCTCTGCTGTGGAGACTGTAGCTGAGTGCTTTGTAGCCCCTGAAGAAGATTTTTTTTTAAATCTTTCATACCGTACATTTCTTAGTCGTCTGGGGATTGCGGGAGGAGTGATTAATAATGGGCAGCTGTTTAAAGAAGAAACAAGCAACAAACATGTTGCTTGTTATTGTAATTCCTGAAACTTATAAACTACTCCTCTCATGCTCATTTAAAGACCAGTCCTTGGAATAAGCGTTCCCAGTTCCCAGTGGCTTCAAAGAGTTTGCAGCGTGCTCAGTATCTTGCAGTATCTGGTCCCCACTGTATTTCCATACATATAAAATATATGCCATGGGATTTGTGTAGGGACATTGTTCTTTAGATTTAACTATATACTTCAGTATGAAGAGGCGTGTTGGTGAGAACAGCTAACGCTTTGATGTGTGAGTTCATACGATTACCCTGCAAAACACATCTATTTTTAAAGATTTATGTTTTTAAAAGAGCCGGTTTCAGTTCACGCTGTTTAGGTGAATTGGCTTAATGGTCTCGGCAAAGTTCCTTTGGTAGCATTACCAAGTAGCCAGCAGAGTGCTGGAGGTCAGGTGAACCGACAGCTTTAGGGGCAGGAAGGCTGGATGGTGTGAGGGCTGGGTGATGGTGTGGGGAGCCTCTTGTCCCTGCAGTGAGTGTCAGGATGCTGACAAATTTGGCATCCAGACTGACCGGTGAGCACACAGTTGCTCATTCTCCTCACTCCCAGGGGCTGCATTGGCAGCCGCAGCAGAGCTGCCCATGACTAATGGGGTGGCTAAACCCAGCTAGATGACACAAAATTGTTTTCTTTCTTTGCCTCGCATGGGCGCTGCCTTCCACTGAGCTCTGATTTTCTGGGGCTTACTGAGGAAAACTCAACTTTTCCCTCTCTTTTTGAAAAATCTGAGAGGCATGCGCAGGAAAACGAGGGGTGTCCAGCTTCTGCAAACAAAGGCTAAGCTGGGAGGTCGCTCAGGGGAGCCTTCTGACAGAGGGCAACTGGGGTGGGGAGATGGCCGTACATGCAGTCTTCTCCCGTGTGCATGTGGCCCAGCAGCCTGTCTCCATCGCTTCTTCCACCACCTACTTCATCTGTCTTGTAATGCCGCAGGGAGGTCTGCCTGCAGTTGTGGTGGCAGGGACCCGGCAGCTCTGGGGGTTGAGGGCTGGGGTGGGGGCACCTCGGGTCTTGCCAGTTCTGGTTTTTGTGGCTCTGCCAGGATGCTGCAGCAGTGCCAGGGATCAGGGAAGCTTCCAGACTGAATGTAGCACGCAAGGCCTCTGTACCCTGCAGCCAGGAAAGGCAGAGCAATGAACTCATCATCATAAAGTAAAAAAAAAAAAAAAAGTTACTGCGAAGTCTGAGTTCTTTTTTTCTTCTTTCCTGCCAAACTGCAAAACGTTTGAGTGTTGCATATTGGTTACTAATACATGTGGTGGGGTTTCCTGGGGGTTTCCATGTTGATTACATTTGAAAGCAAATTGCATCACTTCAAAAAGCGCCGGCAGCCCAATTCCAAATGGGGTTCCAAGAAGGGCTCCGCGCTTCTGACAGGCGCCTCGTTCTGACAGGCTGTCAGTGTGGGAAGGATGGTCCAGCTGTCTGCCCGACAGTACTGAAAAAAGCCAAAACTCACTGTTTAAGAAATTATCCAACAAAGAGACAGCAAAATGCAATGGGTTTTTTTCACCAATTTTCTGCTGAAGGATTTGAAATTTGACAGGGCACCATGGGAGGTGCAGTGTAAAGTGGCTTAGAAAGGTGGTCATTAAGCAGAGCTGTCATTGCAAATTATATTTGTCCAGGGTGAGAAGTTCTAGCTCATTTGGTGCCCAGACAGGTCTAGGCCTTAGGCAAGTTGTTACAGTTCCCCCATGCTGCTAAATGGACCCTGGGCGCTAATTTTCCTCTCTCTGTGCAGTTGGAGTCACCTGGGAGCCCCTCTGGGCCAGAGCTGCCCATAGAGACTCTACTGGATGAGCGGGAACGGAGGATTTCCCACTCCCTCTATGGGGGGATCGAGGGTCTCAGCGAGTCGCCCACCAGGAACGCGGCACTGAGTAGGATAATGGGTGAGTCAAATCTCTTCGGCTAATCAGGGCATGTTTTTGTTCCTCTCTGTGATTCATCGAAGGGCAATTAATGTATTGTGTGGGGGAATCAGGGAAGATGCAAGTTGCACCGACCAACTTAAAATGTGCCTTAAAATTATTCCACGCAAGCCTTCTCTATAGTTAATGTGAGAAAGAGAGTCAAATGGAATTATAAAGTCAATTTCGTATCCCGTGGCAGGTAGTAGAACAAATGACAGGAGCGTTTAACATGGTTTTTCAGTGTCTAATCTGGGACAATAATTTATTGGTTGGTCTAGTCTCCATGTTGAGTCTTCATTCACATGAAAGTCAGTGACTCATGGTAATTTATAATTAATTTCAGCATTTCTTCTCCTCTGTTTCAGTCATACTGAAGTACACAAATAAATAAGGCAAACTTGCATCCGTTTATGCTTATTAAGGCATTTCATTAATTTGTTTGAATTTTTGCTTTGCAGGACACCAATTTTAAAACCTCATAACTAATTTTAAGCATCCCTTGTGTAGATTCTGTGCCATACCATCTGCGTGGCCCCAGTGGATAATGAGGTTATTAGCGGTTGCTGTGCAGCAATTCAGCTCCCGATGTACAGAGCTAGGTAATAAAGACTTGCCTTGCCACAGGAGTGGTCGGATTTACTGACTAGGATGGGATTAGTTTGAAAGGATTTTCAAATTTAAACACAAAAAGCAGCTTGATGAAAATAGCACCTGACAGAAGACGCGACGATTGCTTGCCTGAGTTGCAAGTTTTAAACATAAGATATGGCCATTAAATCTGGGACTTTTTTTAGAGTGCTTGACACACACAGAATATATTGGAAGATGCTGCTGTAAACTTGTTAGGAAGCCAGGCTGAACTTAGTTTTTAATTGCTTCAGATTAATTTTTAGCCCTAGAAAATGAAAGTCCACCACTTAGGCTTTTTCCAGTCAGCAGTTTGTATATATATTTCACTCCATTTTCGGGTTGTTGGGGCTTTTAAAAAAATTTTTCTATTTTGGGGTTTGCTTTTTCGTTGTGGTAGCAGAATAACACAGTTGTTAAACTCTCTGAAAATCCATAAATTTGCTATTTAAGATATTTCTTCAGTTAAGTCTTTTGTCTTTTTTTTTGTGCATTTGGGCAACAGTAATTAGAAATAAATCATATTCTGTTCTATTGCATTACATTTTGCGCAGCTCAGAAGAAAAATTGTATACCTGAGAATCAAGGAAGCATGAAACCTTTTCACCCAAAGTGAACAATTTAATAAACCTATTTGTTGACAAATTTAAAGAATGATAAAATAATTTGAAGTCTTTAGCACTACTCTCCCATAGAAGGGACTAGTTCTTGTGGCGTCAGTGCTTTAGATAAAACATTTGCAAAGCACTACTTTCTGCTTTTTCCATCAATGTTGGAGAGGATTTACACATAGAGCTCATATAAGCGTTAACGAGTTATCGCTTAAACACCTTGTCCAGTGATGGGAGAAGAAACCCTGAGAGAGCCTGTGTGCATGTGTGTCAGCAATGCAGTTTATTTCCACATCAAAGGAACACAGGACTTGCCATGCCAAATCGAACTAGTGGTTCATCAGTCTGGTATCATCCCTTTAGCAGCAGCCAGTAACTAACATTTCAACAAAAGAAAAAAAAATCTTTCCAAAGCTCTTAAAATCTAATGCTTTTGAATACCTCTGAAATGTAGACGTAGTGAAAAAAATCCATCCTGCATTTTCTAAGTTTTTTTATAACCTGAAGTTGATGTTTTGATTTCCTCTGTTTTTCTGTATTTTTCTCAGAAACCAGGAACTATGTAGAAAATTGGTTGCTTGTGACTTAAATCCATTGATGCTTTAATTGGAAGCACATGGAAAATCAAGTTGTGCCTGCACCTCATAGTAAATATGATCTAGTCCAGCGTAAATGAAAACTGGTCTTGCCAGGACTGGGTCATTCACTTCTGCAACCATGACAGCTTCACAAAGCTGTCATGTTTAAACCTAGTTTTTAGGTAGCAGTCAGTTTTCTAATATCCTATTTTTTCTGAATTAATCAGTACCACTAAGTAAAACTGTAGTGTCTATAATCTTTTGTTGTATTATTGCATGCATGTTTTCTTGCAGTGCCATGTGACAGAGGGTTATTATTACCTTTTGGGAGATATAGGTACAGTTGCTTGTTTCAGTGTAGCTAACATTTGTAAGACTCAATCATTTATTATGCAGTGGAATTCCTGTCCTATTAGCATTGATGATGAGAAAAAACACAGAACTTCTTTTATTTTCTTGAGAATGTATATGTGGTGTTACATGACTCTTCCAGAGTTTTCCTCCTCTCTTGAAAATTGACCTAAAAGCGAGGATTAGTCCTAAGAACAATCTGGCTGAGGAATACTGGAGGTCTGTACCTTGCCATGCCAGTCCTGACCATGAAAACAAGCCAAAAGGAGTGCTTTACGCAGTGCTGATTCCCTTGAGTGCTCTCCCCGTATCGAGCGCTCTGATTTACGGGCTCTCTGAATCACCTGATGTCTTTTTATTTACCCCTCAGTGGATTTAACTGTGTAAACTTTTGTACTCTTCGTACCTTGTGGTGAGGAGGTCACAGTTTGATTTCATGTGTGAAGGAATAGGTCTTTCTGCTTCTGTTGCTGTTGGATAAAATTGATGGATTTTGAGTTTTCTTCCTTCCTAAGTTAGACTGTTCAAAAGTGATAATTTCAAGGTCTGGACAATGCCTGCTCTTTTTAGTCATTGCTTAAATTTGAAACAGAACTTTTAAGAGACTTTTGTTTCTTTTAAATACATCTAATGTAATTTTCAGGAAAGGTATTTAAGACAATTTCCTTACTCTTTCAATCCATAACTGACAGCAAGAACTGTTTGTCAGAGCCTTGCTGTGAGAGTGGGAATAAAATACCAATTTTAGAGCGTGATTTAAATTATGTAAAATAATGTTTGCTTACTGCATAAAGGCTACATGAATCTTTTAAAGTTTCCAATGATTCTTATGTTGATCTACTTTTCTAGATGATTATTGCTATTACAGATTTTCTTACGCTTTTTCATTTGATTATATTTCACTGAAAATTTCTGATGGAGAGGAGGTATGGCTTTCTGTATTCAGGGAGTGGTATTTTTGTTTTTGAAGAGGCGTTTTTTATTTAAACGAATTGAGTCTTAAGAATTAGATGGCTATAATAACACCATATTTTATTTATTTATTTTTAATATTTTCAGGTTGCATGTTAGTATATTCAAAATAACAACTGTGTAATGCTGGTTTGCTTGGCTCTATGATTAAAAATTCAAGCCTCTTCTTCTGATACACCATCCTTGTATATCAGCCATTATGCTCCTGAGTTTTGCAATACGCAAATACATAGCTGCTGTGTATATAAATTATTCTTATTCAACAAACAGCTTAGTACAAAGTCCTCTTTCATCTCTTTCTTCTAGTTGCTGATTTTTTTTTATGAACACAGTGGGTTTTGTTGCTAACGGTGACTAAACAGAAGTTATTTATCAGGGGGTACACAGAATAAGAATAGCTTGCACTGAATTTTCTTTTCATCCTGAAGGATCCCTCAGAACTTTGTAAAATTTGATAGTTCCTACACAACAGGAAATACTTTGTTCTCTACATAAAAAATTGCTGTCTTAAGGACAGAATCAGGAGGAAGCACTACTGAAAAAAATTAAGCTAGAGATGTAGCGTGTGTGTGTGTCAATGAAATGAAAATAACCCTCTACAAGCAGAATGCAGTTCCCCAGCCAGGAATCTCATCAGGATGTGCTGGTCTGCTACAATAGTCTTGACAGATGTGAGCACTCTCTTGAAATCCAAAGCCTGGATATAGTGGATATAGTTGTCCTCAGACGTTCACCAGACATTTACCACCAATCCCACCTCCATTTAGCTTGGAAAATTAGATTATATGAGTATCTATGGGAAATTTTGCCAAAACTCAGTATATTGCTGGGGACAAATATGCTGTTAGTAAAAAATAAAAAAAATCAAGATCTGCAGAAATTCTGATTTTTCATTGCACAATTGCCTGTATCCCTCCTGTAGCAAGTCTCATCACTATTACCATTGTCATCATCACTATTTCCTTTTATTATTATTTCCATTATTTATTACTCTTTTTATTACTTTGGTTAATACTTCATTCTTAATCACAGAATAGCTGTTGCTGATTTCTTGGTGGGACAGGTTAGGAATCACTTGCCATGTCAGAGCAAGAAAGACCCTCTACTTGTGCAAGAGTCTTGAAGCGTACCATTGGTCTGAATCCCATGACATCAAAATGCTCATGAGAGTCACTCATAAAGCAATACTTGGTTTTGAACATATCATAAGGGTGTTCAACAGATTTCTTAGACCTTCCTTTAAAGAGAAAGCGATAGCAAAAGCACAAGAACCAAGCCAGATGCAGTATCGTGACAATGCAGTGTAGTAGGGGAGCCAAGTTATCACAGCAAACTGATTAACCAAACTTCAGGGATTTTTCAAGATTTAAAAGGACCTGGAGTAGTTGGGTTCTTCATGAGTAAGCCTGTTGTTCATTTTATGTCCTGTGTATGCTCAGGGTTTTTTGGAGCACTTTACGTTGGTGGTTTAATTCAGGTCCAAACTTATTTTCTGGCCTATTATAGGTCTATACTGTTATAGGTTTGAAGTGTTGCTGTTTGGCATGTTTTTCCTTCTAAGCTGAAAGTCCTCATAGACCTGGAGACCAGCCATTTGGTACTGGAACTCTGAGAGTTCTTTTTCTGCACAGACAGATGGGAACTCTTCTTACCCCATAGTTTGGTATGGTCCTCAGGCTACGCTTGTTTAGATTGGTAACTTGTTCAAGAAATTTGAGCCTCATTGTCCTGAGAGGAGACACACTTGAAAGGGAGAATGTTTTCCCTTCCTTATTACACCGTCCAAAATACTTTATATTATTAGAGATTACCTTGCTGAAGTTGAATTAATATATGCAAAACTGGACTTGAAGTGTATTCAGAGTCTAAATTTTATAGCACTTTTCTAGCCCGAGGGAAAATTATTGTCTTGGGGAGGTTTGTAGACAGCTCGAGCAATGTCTTAGATTTGCAGATCAGTCAACTATACTGATGATTACTAGGTTTGAAGTTTCTTTGATGTTTCCTTGTAATGTTTCTCACAATACTTGCAGAGTTGCTTTCTCCAAGGATATTTTCTGTCCACTTCAGCTGAGCTCTCTACAAAGGATGTATTGAGTCCATTGCGGAGGTCTATCTAACCATCTGCTGGAGGTGAAGCCTTTCACCTGTTTTTAGCTTCATCTGAAGTGAAAAGCATAGGCACGTCAGATGGATTTTCTCCTTAATTCCAAAGCAACTATTAAAATGTCAGTCTTCACCCTTGTCAGATATAAAGAAAGGTAGTGAAAAGTTAAAAATGTTACTGAATTACTGTAGCCTCTCAAATGGGATGTTCAATCTGCCGAATGCCATAAGGTTATACCTTTTCACAATCAATTCTTTGGAGACGTTATTAACTACAGAGTTAACAGTCTTGTAGGCATTATGTTTGGAAAGAAGTACATTACCAGGCTAAACATTAACCTGTCCGTCAAAGAAGCTATTGCTGGGCAAAGAATCAGCTGTTATGCAAACTGAACACATTTATTTCAGTTTGACAGTGATGAGATGTTTGCCATGCAGTACCTTTTTCTTCCAGCCACTTCTTCAGCTTTCTTCAGTGATCTCTTCTGAAGCCAGTTTTTCCCCCTCTGGAAAGCTATACAAAATGTATTACCTAGTGCAGCAATGATTTTAGCTAGCTCTTTACGGATAAGGTTTTATTTGTTTGTTTGTTTTTTAATAATAGCATGCAAAGGTAGTGATGGTAATGGAAACCTTTCCAGAAAAGAGGAAAAAAATATTTTCCCCTAATTCAACACAATTTTTCCATATCTGTATGAAAAATAAAGCATGAAAATATTTGTTGTGTCCATAGAAGCAGTTTATGTTATGGAAATATAAGTTTTGCTATATATTATTTCTGTGGTGCATCATAGTTTTAGAGCAATTTAGAGTTTGTTGTCAGATTAATGGTTGATTAAGCTAGTGCTTTTCTTCTCATGAGGTGTGACAATTTTACTAATTGTTTTAGTAAGAGAATACATTTCCAGGAATAAAATTCATGTAGTGTCATGATCGTTCACTAGAAATAATGTTGTGTGTAGTGAGAGTTAAGACCAAACATTTTAAGTGACAGATCTTTTTAAGTTGAGCATCAGTGTCCAGGAGGAAAAAATATTTTTAAAGATATTCTATCACATAAAAAAATATATGTAGCTAATTTGAAGAAATCACACTTAATAACTAGCCATTGCCTCAGATAATTAAATAATTTTCTTCCAGATTTGCAAATCGTTATTTTCCTTAGAGCAAATTTTAGTTTACTGTTTCTAGATACTGAAATAACCTCTGTTTATTCCAAGTTAAGTTTTTAAATGTTGATAATCCTGTATTTCCACTGTTGTCCAAATAATATTATATAATACCCCATCCTCCCAACCCGGTATCTCATGAATGTATCCTGAAAACCAGATTTATTCAGCTTAAACCGTAGTTATGTTACAAAGCATTGCAATGAAAATATTCTTTCTGATATTCTTTATAACTTTTTGGTCTGTTTTGGTCGCATAAAGTTTTCTATAGGTTTAAAAGTTGCTTTTGCTTTTTATACAGTAGTTTGAAAATTGTTATACAATCTTATGCATCGAAATGATTACTGGAAAGTATAAATATGTGTATATATTTATACCTATAAAAGCAGCAGTAGTAGTGGTTTTATAATATTTATATGCACATTAAAATTGGTTTTTACTTGGAAACAGTGTTTTACTAGTTTGTAAGAATCCTCTAAATATCATCTTTTAACTGCTACTCTCACAAATTAAGACAATGAAGTCTGCTACCGAACAAAGAATAATGTTGAGTCTTCATTATCTCTCTTTCATGTATGCAATGGCTCTAGTTTAAGCATTTTAACAACAGTGTTAAAACTTACTTGAATTTGGTGGTAACAGAATTAGGTAATCTTTTTTTCCACATTTTGCATGTGTGCCTCCAGATTATTTTTTGAAGGAGAGAATTAAAATTTGGAATTGTTTAGCTCTAGCTGTGAGTTCTCATCACCTTTCACAAGATTAAAGGGTTCCAAGTTCCCAGTAACAGTCAAACAAGTTTCAAATTTCATGAGGGCAAGACTGATCAGGAGAAGCGATGAGGTCTGTAAGTCCCCGTTGAACTCATTCTTTGTTTCTACCAAATGATTTGATGCAAGAGAAGATACTGTCTTCTGGGACAGGTGCTTGTCAGTGGTTCCCAGTGACAATGGGCACAGACGGAAACACAGGAGGTTCCCTCTGAACATCAGGGAGCACTTCTTCACTGTGAGGGTGACTGAGCACTGGCACAGGTTGCCCAGGGAGCTGGTGGAGTAGAATACTCAAAAGCCATTTGATCAGGGTCCTGGGCAACTGGCTGTAGGTGTCCCTGCTTGGGCAGGGGGCGGTTGGACCAGATGAGAGGTCCCTTCCAACCTCAACCCTTCTGTGATTATGTGGTCTTCTTGCAGTAGGCCGCAGATACAAATGGTGTATATTACTTTTCAGACCTCTGCATAGGAAGATGCGTATAAAGCAAGACATAGTTAATTTTATTGTCTGTGTTGTGTCACTCCTATCAGTAGCATTGCAGTTTGACGTGACATTTTATCAGCTGTGATTATATATTATTCAAGGCACTCTCTGCCATTATTTAGGTTTTGGGGTTTTTCTCCCTTTTATTGTTCAGGTAAATATCAGCTGTCTCCAACGGTGAACATGCCCCAAGATGACACTGTCATTATTGAAGATGACAGGCTGTCAGTCCTCCCTCCTCATCTCTCTGACCAGTCGTCATCCAGTTCCCACGATGATGTTGGGTTTGGCACTGTTGATGCTGGTGGATGGGCTAAAGCTGCAATTAATGAGTCAACAGACTGGTAAGAGCATGGTTTAGTGGAAGGAAAAAAGAGATGACTGCACTTATGTCTTTCTCTTTAGTTTAATTTTTGGCTACTGCTAATATTAATCTTTTGGGTTTTTTCATCATATTTAGATTTCTCTATTTTCAAACTGTTTCAGGAAGGACATCTCTGCAGATAATCTGTTAGACTTTCTACTTCTGATTGGAGTTTTGTGCTCTGTCAAAGCACATTTGTGGAAATTTTACTAATTGTTATTAAGACCAAATCAGTATATGGCTGTGTTAATTTGATGATTTAATATTAATTTAGTTGCCAACTGAGCTAGCCTTTGTAAAAAAAACTTTGCAAATTTAAACACTTGAGTTTATGAAGGATGAAAGAAAAATTCCAATTGGAAATTTTAATTTATAAACCTCACTGTAAATATTTCTAAGTCTATAAAATAAAGATTTTATTTTTGTATTCCAGTATATATCTAGGAGCCTTTCAATACTTCTGTATACTTTCTTGATTTTCCTAGTAATGTACAGTAATTTTAGTGTCTGCTTAGAGGTCAGGGCAGCTTTTTGTTTTGCCTTAGTGTTAATGCTTGTGCAACAAGAACTAGTTAAGATTTCTTCATTATGCATGATAAAATACCTTTCATATCATTATATGATTTGTAACTATCATGCAAAGGCAGTGTACTGTAATAGCTCTACATTTAAAAATATGGAAAGTAATAGTTCCACATTTAAAACTATGGAAAGTAACTTTATATGTTTTATCTAGAGTAAAAATAATTTCTGTGAATCTTAGGTTGAGTCTCTAATTACTTTTATACATTTTAATATGAGAGTCTTAATGAGAAATGCATTGAGCTCCATTATTGACTTGCTTAGGTTCCTGGCAAAGAAATACTGTTTATTGCTTAGTTAGTACAATTAATACAGATCTAAGATTTAATTTGCAAGTCCTGTAATTATCTATAGTAATAGCAAAATAAAAGCCCACCCCGTACACTGCCGCTTCTTGGAAGCTAGATAATTACCACAAATGGTGTGAAGTATATGAATTTTCTTATTTTTTGTGTCTCTTGAGCCTGTTATGAATGTGTCAGCAATATCTTAATAAAACAGCAATAGCACCTGCCAGCTGATATGCACCTGTCAGCTTCTTCTTTGCTTTATATTAGTTTATTTCATCTTATGTCCAGGAAGTGAGTTCTGTATTTTAAGCACTGTTTTAATGATTGTATAAAAAGGTATTTTTTTTCATCCTCATTTGCATTTTGTTTTAATGTTGCAGCTCTTCTCTTGGACAAGTCATACCTGTAATTTGGGTCCTTGAAAGGTCCATCTGTCTTTTGTAAAAGCTTTTAGAGCTGAGATTCTGAGACGTTTAAATAGAATAGTACTCAAGGCTGCACATAATAGCTTATTGCTGAGGGAATTTTTTTAGCCAAATATGAGCAAAAACCTATAGCATAAAGTAAGAGCCCATTTGAAACCTGCAAATGCTTTTACATTTCCTTCTACAGCATATCTTGCTATTCATATACTTCTTTGAAAATGAAAGTAACAGTAAAGAAAATAGAGATTAGATATTGTGGAACTGATCATGCTCAAAACCTTTAAATGTGTGTATGAGAAATGGTAAGGGTCTTCAGATACAATTGCACTTAAAAGAGTAGATCAGTGCAGCGCCTTACTAACTAATGTATTCTATTTGTAAAAAGGTAAATAGCAGTAGAATTAGATTGTTGCATTAATTTCCTGCTGCTAATGGATGAAGGAAGACTTGTAAAATGAAGGTGCGTTGTATGATTTTTGCTGGAAGGCACAAAGGGTAAAACTAAGAATATGGATGAAGGGTTATCCAAACAAGAATGGCAGCTGTTCTGAATCACAGAAGAAAATGTAAGCTTTTCCAGCTTCACAATATCTCCCTAATCCTTGATGAAAATGTTATGAAAACAAAGGGGCAATAAGACAGGATTAATAAGTGGAATTTTAATAACATTGAGGGTCAGAAGACGGTTACATTCTTTTAAGGATCAGCTGTCATTCCAGAAATCTTATTTGTTAAGTATGCTAGAATATAGTAAATTGCATTTGGCATTGCTTAATGACTTGCACTAAATTCACCTTCTGTCTTTTATTAATGTAGTTGAAAAACATTAAAATGAGGCATTTTTAGGGGCAGTAGTTCCTCTTCTGTGCTCATTGGCTTTTCCAGTTGTGGATCTTCACGGGGGCTTTTGAATACTTTTAGGCAATGTACATGCATTCAAACTCCTGTGGTCTGCTCCTTCCTTAATTACAAAAACACGCTCGTGGGTCATTAATAATAGAAATAAACCAGGACATGAAAACTGATGACTCTACATAGGGCTCAGATATTTGTACTGTAAAAAGGTATGAGGTGGCGTGATGTCAGAGAGCAAGTAATTTTTTGGTGCCAAGCGTAGCACCTTTAGTATGCAGGATACTATGCAAACATGGAGTAATAATCCCCCTAATAAGTATGTGTGGAAGGTAGGTGTGATAAGGGCATATAAGAGAAGCAGAGACAAAGCCCCTAAAGGCAGTGTCAGTGGAAACACTGGGATCCAGTCTCCAGAATTCTTGGTTGCTGACGCCGTGTCCAGACTCCACTGCTCCCTACAGGACCTGTGGTGCCCTTTTTGAGTTTTATTTAACTTCCAAGTTTTAGTGTGTTTTTAGGAATTCAAGTTGAATATATATGTGCATGCTGTATTTACATGAAAATGATATTCAGCTTTATTAGAAGCTTTATATATATGGATCAAAGCAAGCTCATATGAAAAAAGAAGCATGCAGCCAAAACAAATAGTTTTAGAAATTCACCCTTTTTGAAGAAAGTGTCACAGGATACATTTTGTTCAGCAACATGAAGCCGGTCATCTTTAACTAACGTGAGCTGTGTTAACAGATGTTGCTAGAGAAAATTCTCACTTAGTAAAACCACATTTTTCTGGCCTTCAGAGACTGGGCTGACTAGCAGTGAGCCAGAAACTCCTGTGTGGCCTTGGGAAAGTCATTTATGATCTGATTATGAAAGGTGTTGAAACCCTGTAAGTTCAGTTGAGTCACTCAGAGGACGTTTTCAGACTTAGGTGGTTCTTATTCAGCTATGTGTTGTGCTGCTGTAAATGCTAGAAGTGTATATTGGCCTTGTCTGTTTTATCTTTCTATCATGTGGAGATAATTTTTTCCGTATTTTGTAGGAGTGAATGTGAGGTCTCAACGGTTATTTTTTGAGTTTGGGCGCTGATTCATCAGAGCTTTTAAGCATATGCTTCAAAATGTTGCTAAATTGTGCAGGCATCTCTGAAATAGTTGCAGTAATTAAATGTAAAACATTATGAGCCTGAGCCAGAAGCATTAAAGTCAAAAGGCACTTGACATTGACTTTATTCATATAAGCTCTGATTCTGCTCTCACTTAAGTATTATATGCTTGTCACATGCACATATCTTATTATTTGTAAATCTGCCACTACTGGACTGAATTATCTTCTAGGCTGCCTGGTAATGCAGGTAGTCATTTTCATCCTTTATAGTACTTGATGCCTTTGGACACTTTTTTTTACATCTCTTCACTGTTGTGCCTAATACCCAACTGTTTCTTGATCAAAGATGCATCTATAAATTATAGTACATGGCATACATAAACACGCATATGCTACAGAATTTAAAAGTATAAGTTGGTTTCTGCAGAAATTCACTATTTGGTTGTTTCTCACTAGATATGGGGTGTGTGTTACACTTAGCCCTTAAAGTAGAAAATAATTCTTTTGAAACATGTATGTATACAATATTTTGAATGGCATTTAGTCTATTCAGAGATCTCAGTGACAAAATATTTAGCTTTTTTTATCTTGAAGTACAACAACAATCAAAGGGGCAATTTTTGAGGGATCTTCTTCCTATAGGATAGATATCAATGATGCAAAGTACTCATTTTTTCAGTATTTTATGCTTTCGATTTCTTTTTGTGCCAGGTGAAGTAGAAATCTAAATTCTTTGGGCTTGCTTTCAGGCTCTTTTTAGTACTCTCTCATTTTCCAGGAGTCAGAAGATCTTTGCATGAATTTCCTTTCATATTGTTTATTAGCAATAAGCAGTCTTGTTTTTTTGTTTTGGTTTTTTTTTTATTGGTTTTAACGTGCATTGTGGTCATGGTGACATATTGCAAGCCTATGGTATAGCTTGCACATCAAATTTTATCTGCATTCTTGAGTTCATGGTTCTGGACCATTGTGGTGAATACTTGCTCTGTAAGGAAGTAATGAGTAGAAGTGTGTTTGTCTGTCATGGCCAGGTTAAAACCAGGAGATGCTGTGAAAAAATTACAAGCAATTTCACATATGGAGAGAAATTTTAATGCAAAGTCTTTAAATGAAGAAGTTTAAAGCTCTGTGGGCTTCAGGCAGGACAGTTTCTATTTATGCTTTGCTAAAAACACTTTGTGATGAAGAAAAATCTGTTAATTTGCTATCAACGGAATATATTTGTTTTTCATGAAGAAAAAGGAACTGGTTTATTCTCCCTCAAATTATTCCTGTGTTAGGGCTGTATATTCTGATAGTGTATGTATAGTACACCAGATATGTATAGCTTTCATTAAAGCTCATAAGTGAAATTCTTGGTACTTTTTAACTAGAATTGCTCAATGCAGTAAAACAAATCCATCGTGTATGTAACTGACTACTTGCAGTGGTTTATTTAAAAATGTGCACTTTATCATTGGTAGAAGTCACGTGCTAAATAAATGCTTTTCTCTGCAGAGTGAAAGGTTGCGTGATCTTGATAAATGTTCGCATGATTTTTTTCCCTTCCTACAGCACTCTTAGTCCAGATGTTGATCCAGTGCTTGCCTTCCAGCGAGAGGGTTTTGGACGCCAGAGCATGTCAGAAAAGCGTACAAAGCAATTTTCAGATGCCAGTCAGTTGGAGTTTGTTAAAACACGAAAATCCAAAAGCATGGATCTAGGTAGTGAGTGATATTTTTTCAATTGTTTTATTTGAACCTGATTTTCATGTTGTGAGTATATAGATTCTGTAACTCCAAACACATTGTTTATGTGGAGGACTACTGCACGTAATGTCTACTGGTGGGAAATAAAGTATTCTTAATGTGAATGGCCAAGTGGCCTGTGTATTGTTTGTACCACTTGTAAATGTCTATACATTTAAATATCGTAGCCTTATGGATATATGGTTATACATAAACTTTAAAAGTATTTATTAAAATGGAGGTGAAAACTACATTTACCGATCCGTATAGAATAACTGCGTAAAACTGTACCACGGTGTGGTTCTAGGTAGACAGGATTATTCTCAGTTCATGATTATAATGCAATTAGTCTTAAAGATCCTTCGTAGTCTCTCATTTCATAGATGGATTTTGATGCAGATATTAAAGATGCGAGTATTTTTTTTTTTGAGAGTTCATTCAGAATTAGAAAATGGGGCTAGTCGAACATCTGTTTGAGACATAAGTTTTAATATTTATATCAGAAGCCCTATAAAGTAGCAGCAGCTAAGACAGGCAATCGACTATGATCATTTTAACTGATAAAACAACTGAGAATAAGTAATCGCTAACAAGCCCACCTATTTTTCTGCCATTGAATTGAGATTCTGAAGTGCAGACTCTAGTAACCTTAAACAGTGAGTTTTGATTGTTTAAACACACAAAATTCCCTACTCAGAATAATAAAATATAATACGATTTGCTCCTTTACAATAATTGTGAATATCTTAACTACAATCCCTAATTCACCAACTTCCTCAGAGGACAGTAAGGTTGGTGGTATTGACTTGTCTTGACTAGTTGTGATGTGCTAACGTGTAAATAACATATTGTACCTGCCTGTGATGTGAACATGACTGACATTGCATGAAGGTTACTGGTTTGCTGCCATTTCTACCCAGAATGTTTGCTTACTGTTGCAGTTTATTTGCATGAAGTATGACATTGCTAAGGTCCCCTAACTTGAAAAAAAAAAAAAGCAAAACAGAAGGAATGTTGGATGCATGTGGGGCATGGGCACTAACTGGGCTAACCGTTATACATTTACCTTTTAACAGTAGCTGACGAGACTAAGCTCAGTACAATGGATGACCAGAAAACAGGTAAGAATTGACAGTAAGGCTGTTGCTATAGAAACCTTGGTCAAAGCAGCTTACCACAATTACAGAACTGCCAGTCAAATTGCATGAAAACATGAATATTCCAGTACTTGCATGGCTGCTTTCTATTGTTGTGAGTAATCAAGTCGTACAGAAAAAGAAAATTCTCTATAGAGATAAGTATTAAGGGTAATATATTCAACCAGGTCATACATGTGATTGTAGGTAGACACCTGTTTCTACACTTTGAACTCATAAATATTCACAGTTGTTTGTTTGGATTTTATGTTCATTCAAAAAAATCTTGGTAAGTCTCCTAGCTTCAAACTCTAATGTACAGAGAGATGATGTAGAAGAGTCGAATGTTTGGCTATTACAGTGCTAACACAGTGCTTGGAAATAATTATTTTAATTAGAAAACTGCTACCTTTGCCTTAAGTGGTCATCAGATACATGTCGTGAGTTGGGCTGAAGATTATTTGTGCAAGTTGATTTGCCTTTGGAGCTGAAACCTGAGCATCGTAACAGAACAAAAGAATATGTAAATAGAATCTTTTCCACATACCATCGATCGTAACATTTCACACAATGATAATGAGAAATAGCTTTCAAAGCATATTTTTTATTAGTAATTAAAATAATGCACCAACTGCAATTATGAACCTTTATGATTTATTAATATAAGTTAGCTTTTGACCTTTGGAATGCTGTTTTAATTAGGCTAGATCCAGAGGACACCATAACATTACTTAGCTCTAATTAGGAACAATTCACCTTTTTAACCCGAAAATATTATTTATTTTAGCATGATTTGGGGAGTAGGGCATTCCATACAGAATTTACAATTAATAATTCACAACTGCATCTCTGTTTAACCACCTTTTACAACATGAGTAGGAATACTGAAGAGCTGTAAGTAATCAAGTGATAAAAATATAGTTTTTATTTAAACAGCTAAAACTTCTAGCTCTTAAAACGTTGCAGAATATGGCCACAGACTTGCAGCCTTACAAATTGAGAATGAGTACACAAAATTAAAATGTATTAATGTTTTGAAGGATTAAATCCATCAGAGTGTGAATGTATGAATTGTGTTAATGGTTGTGGTAATAATCAGTGCTTAGGAACTGGCTTCACCCCTGAGCATTATTCACATAAAAAGGAGTTACAGATCAAACTCAAAATTATTGTAAATTATTTTTCTTTTTTCTTATTAGCCTGCCTATTTGAATGGGATGTGATTAGAATGGTGTAAAATCTGTGTGTTTTAGTAAAATACGATGCTTAGGTTTTTAAAAGTGCGTAGTGTTTCTGGTGGTATCAGTAGAGGGTGGTATTAGTCGAGCGTAGTTTTTCTCTATGTGTAACACCTGGATTAAATTCTGAAAAAGAGATAAGTCAGACAACTTGGGTGAAAGAGCATGACCGTAACCATCTGGACTAAGCAGTTACATATTTTGTGCACAGCAAGCTCAGTGGCTGGAAAAAAGGAAAAACACCTTTTACTGTACTTTTATTTTATTTGTCTTGCATGCTTTTAACCAGGTTTTGTATATAAACACTGGATTTCTCCCATTACTGAAGATAGATGTGGTTGTTAAACAAACCACTTACTGTAGTTTGTCTTAAAAATCATCTGGTTCTAAGAAAAAAAAGGTTTCAAATATGTGGTGAACTATGTTTTAATGAACTCTAGAAGCCAGAAAACTTCAGCATGTATTTACTTTAGAAAAAATAAAAACAAACTCTGTTACAGTCAAAGTTTGACTTAACAGTATTGGCTGAAAAGGAAAGTGTAGAACTCACCAGCCCTAGTTACTATAATAGATTTTTAAATTATTTTTCTTTCTATAGTTCACTTGAAGTGCCTAATCCTTGCAGTGTTTACAGTTCATCCTAGAGGTTAGAAGTATATTCGGTAGCAATTGAGCATGGCTCATTTACTGAGTCCCAGGCATACTATAGTTCTAGGTGGTTATTTTTCCAGGTACACATTGTGAAAATTAAAAAGAAAGAAAAAGAATAAAAGAACACTTGTTTAAATGGTTTATTTATTTATTTTTACACAGTGCTTTTTAAATAAACTGTTTTGTTAAATGGAATTTAGCGATGCAGTTGCTTGCTCTATTCCTCCCCTGCTCTCTCCAGCCCAAGTGTTACTCTTTTAGTGTATGAATTGAACTAGAAATAGAAGAATGTATCAAATCTAATGGAGCAGCTGTTAGTAAATAAATAGACTCACTGCTAATGCCCTTTAAGAAAGCGTTTAGAAAGTAGACTTCGTGCCTTTGCAAAACTCGTTTAATCAAATCGAGGGAAGTTTTTGGCATCAGTTGCTGGTAGCGTTTAACCTGAGTGTTAATAAAAATAATGTTTCAGAAAGAAACAAAATTGTCATTTTAAATCATTTAAAAGAAAGCGCTGATGAAAAATTTACCTTATAGCCTTTAAAATGAGTCACTGAAGGAAACATCACGTATCCTTCGACACCACGCTTTCTGCCTTTGCAAATCACCCAAGCGGATTTGTGGCACTGTATAATACTTAACGTAAGACGAGAGCAGCGGAAGCAGAATCAGTTGTTAAAAAGCGTCAGCGCAAGGGAAAAACTAAGGGCTGGGAGCAGGGAGCAACACATAGGCTTCGCGTGATCTCTGCGTGTTGAACGTCCCGTCGGATCTCCACGTTCTCTGAAGTTACGTGGTGGGGGCCGCGCGAGAGCGGGTGCAGGCGCCCCCAGCCCAGCCCAGCCCTGCCCTGCACGGGCAGAGGGCGGTCGCGTGGCCGGCAGGCCGAGGCTTGGCCGTCGTCCCCAAGGGCTGCTGGCCAGCTGGGGACATGGGGAGTGGAGTAGCAGTGCCCGTGTGGTGGGCGGTAGGGAGCGGCGGCGCTTGTGTGGTGGGCGGTAGGGAGCGGTGGTGCCGTGTGGGGGGCAGTAGGGAATGGCGGGGCCCGTGTGGG